AGCAGCGGCAAAGCACTCAAACTCCTCCTGTCTGTCCTCGAGAACGTCCGTGCCAAGAGCACACTCACCCCCGACGGACGGAGGACAGACAGACGCAGACGCAGACTCAGCAACAAGACTAGTGGCGTAGTCTAGGCGACAGGCTCCAGGAAAGTCAACAAGCTCAGTAAAAAGAGCAAACGCAGCAGTGGACTCAAACAGAGGGTCAGTGACAGCAGTGGCCAGAAAGCGCGTGACAGCTGGACTAGCAGCACGTAGGGAGTCAGACGCAGGGTCCGGACAAGCAGGAAGAGAGGACGCAGGAGGAGACGGCAGAGGGACACGCTGTGGAGCAGTGGAAGGACGCAGAGTCATAGAGTGAGTGCCAGGGACAGGAGGAGGACGCGAAACACGACCAGCGCGAACAGTACGGACAGGCGACGCAGAACGAGACGCAGGCGACACAGGACGCGACTCAGGCTCACGACGCTCCGTAAGACCTCTAGTCGGTCCAGAGTAAGGAGAAGGACCACGCAGTGGAGAGGCCGGCTGTAACTGCGACTGGGACTGGATAGGCGGTGGACTCAGGAAAGGAGGAGGAGGACCAGAAGAAGGCGGATAACCAAGAACCTTCTGAAGGTGTGGAACGTAGTACGGCCGCGGCCGCGCAGCGCCTCCAGAAACAGCAGAGACAGCACCGGTACCCTCAGCCCCAGGGTCTCCAGTCCCAGCAGCACCTCCAGTCCCAGCAGTACCTCCAGTAGCTCCAGCACCAGTGACAGCAGGGGCCGCGACAGCTGGGGGCGCGACAGTAGGGGCCGCGTCAGCAGGGGCCGCGACAGAAGGGGCCGCGCCAGTAGGGGCGGCGACGGCAGGGGCCGCGACAGCAGGGGGCCGCGACAGCAGGGGCCGCGTCAGCAGGGGCCGCGCCAGTAGGGGCGGCGACGGCAGGGGCTGCGACAGCAGGGGGCAGCGACAGCAGGGGCCGCGATAGTAGGTGGCCGCGACAGCAGGGGCCGCGGTAGCAGGGGCCGCGATAGCAGGGGCGGCAACGGCAGGGGCCGCGACTGCTTAGGGCCGCAACAGTAGCAGGGGCCGCGACGGCAGCAGGGGCCGTGACGGCAGCAGGGGTTGCAGCGGCAATAGGGGCCGCGACAGGTGGCGATGGCAGGGCCGCGAGGCAGGGGCTGCGACGGGCGAGGGCCGCGACAGCAGTAGGGGCGGCGTCGGCAGTAGGGGCCGCGACGGCAGGTGGGGTCGCGACGGCAGTAGGGGTCGCGACAGGCAGTAGGGTCGCGTCCAGCAGGGGCCGGACTAGGGCAGGGCGCAAGGCGCGCTTCGGGCAAGGCGCGATGCGCGCTTCGGGCAGGGCAGGAAAAAAAATGTGGTGGGCCCTAAAAAACGTTCCCACTAGGGAACCTGCTCAGAATACCATGTTAGAATGTGAGCGAATGAATGACTGAACTAGAAAGCAGGTGGGTACAAGTAGGAAACCTAAAAGTGTTGTACCCTATAAGAACTACCCCACTACAGCCTAAACAGACTATAGCATATAAGTTTGACATGATTGCGCAGGAGCTGCTTGCTGGTGTTGCTCGTAGAAGGACATGAAGGAGAAGAATTTCTCCATCAAGTTTGCTGCTTGATTCCCGGGAGTTTCGGTTGACTCCGCAGTTGGTCTTGTTGTTGTGCCTTCCTCTGTCTGTAGGCCAGAGGCTGGAGGTAGAGTAGGAGTAGTGCCGAGAGATCCGTTGGAGGAGCTCCTCTCCTTCTGTGTTGCCATGTCTTGAATTGTCGTAGGAATTTTGGAAATCGATCTTGCCTTGTTTGCTCTCATACCATGTTGGGCTGAGAAAATAGCCCTTAGGATCTTTCAAGGCTAAGACCTATTGTAGTAAAGATGTTGTAGTTTACGGAAGTGTTTTAATAAGAATACTTGAACCACCTTGCACTGGTCTGTGAGGACAAGATAAGTTGATAATAGCATGGGCAATACAAAGCTTTTATATGATTACAAAGGAATATGGAAAGTTCTGTTTTAACTGTTTCTGCTGTTGCGGTTCGATACAGTGACGACTTGGGTAACTGCTCAGTATCAAGTTCGTTATGTGTCCTTGCTGTCGCACTGCATTTTTTGTCAGGTCAAAGGTCGCGTAACCTCCAGCGGTTGCTTTGTTGACTCGCGTGTTGCTTCGCTTGTAGTCTGCTTCGTTTTGTGTCGATGCTTCGATCACTTCAGAAGCGTTTAAGTTATTTGTTTCCAACACAGACATCTTCACCAAGGCCCTGCCGCCTTGTGACCACCAGAGGTGTTGTGTACAGTTAGGTCTCGTTGACACAGGTTCTCGCCTTGTATAGTATTGATTTCTCTCCTTGCTTTGTTTGTACACCTTACATATACCTATGTGAACTCTTGAATTAGCCTTGTGGCTCTTTTGCTTGTGCTCGGAGTGTGTGGTGACGTTGTGACCCACCCTGAGTTTTGTTTCTTTGTGACTGGTCTTGTGACCGTACACTTTTGGTTTTGCTTGACACCCCTCACTTAGACTATGGGGGTGTGTCAAATGTTGTAGTCTTAGTGATGTGTTTTTTAGGGGGTAAAACTGTTAGGGTTAGGTTTATTTACCCCAACCAACCTTAGTCAAACCAACACTTTAATTCTTGACAATGACATCTAATTTTTATGAATCAATGTACGTAATTGGAAGAAGACCCTGTTACAGATTGTGAGTGAAACCGCTCACTCTGTGGAACAATATTTGTCAATGCCCACAAATGCTATACTTCGCCACGATAGAATACATAGAGAAGGTGCATGTCTGGCCTTCTGGAGTAACATACAACACAAGGCAATGCTATGACACGTGAATCAAATGTCACAAGGATGTGGGTTCGCCTTGGCTTGCTTCTGTTTGCATATCTAAAAGAAGCACAGCTTCCGGTTCTTCTTGACCCACCACCGGTGTTCCATGCCCAGCGAGGGCAGCAACCTCAGCAGGAGCGTGATGGTGATGGGTGCTGCTGGGCTCCTGGGCCTTGGCTCTCCATACCACCAGGTACAGGCCGGATAACACGAGGAAACCCCCGATGACACTGCAGCCAATGTCAAACCAGCAGGCACCCCACAAGCAAACTAATGAGTGGTACGAATGGAGTAAAGAGCCAAGTGTACAAGGTGAACAGCTATCAGGCATCTAAGAGCTGGGTATTACCGTATACCTTGGTCTGCAAGACCCACACAGCTTGAACACCCATGGATACGCAGCTTGTGCGAGCCCGCATAAGTTACCCCAAAAAAGCTTACACATACATTGCCATACTGGTACCTGTAAAGTGCACGCATTAGAGCTTCAAGAATATGTGCTGAAAGAAATTCCTGGGGCTGGTTCCGGGAGTGGAACGGGGGCGCAACAGCATCCCAACAAAGCCGCAGGGGCAACGTCTGCACAGCCTCACGTCAGGCTAGTTTGAAAACATCCGCTCGGCCAATAGGCCCTTCGGATATGGCAACAAAAGCAGTGAAGGAAACATACAACAAGTACCGCTCGAAAAGGATATTATGTGGTCCCAGAATCGGGGTTCCGTTATTGTACCTTGACAGTTTTCCGTTACCGTGCGGCAGTGAGTGGGAGGGCAGCAGCTGTGAAGCATCCATCGATTCAATCTATCCGCTCAGAGAGAGGCGTTCTGCAGGAAAACCCCACACGAATTGTGCAATCAATGTTGGCAAGCTTCTGACTGTGTGCGGTTATTACCAAGCTAAAATGAGCACAGAGCTTCTTGTCACAGAGAACTCTATTGCTGCGTTCCCCATGCCAACAAAACGAAGGATAGGACAACGAAGAGAATGTAAGTCCGCACCTAGAACCCACATCGACTCATCTCGATATTGAAGGGGATTTGCGATTCATATCCCTGCTGTGCTGCATTGCAGTGGCGCATTGCAACGTGGGAGGACGCGGATAGCCTGTTGTAGTACTTGCCAGCTTGCCAACATCGCACCCTCCCAAGATAACCCAACCACTTGCACTTCAACGATGATTCTTTGCATTAAGATGTATTCGCCACGCACCCTCACAACTTCTGCACAGAGTGTGTGTAACCAATCGGATCATTTTGGATCACTTTTGCTGCAACCCTGGGTGCCACGCCCAAAGGTTCATACCGTATGACACAGCTATGTGCGGCAGCAGATGTCTGCTCGCTCTGGCACAACACATCGCACACTTGTGTGCACTGGCATGGATACATGTGCTTCAAGTAATGTGTGCAGACATGGGTTCGGAAGAGGCAGAGTGGGCAAGAAGGTGACGGAGAGTGCATGGGGGAAGCTGTGGGAAATGAGGCACATGCAGGAGAGAGTTGCAACTGTTGTTGATTGAGGCACCTAAAAAAAACGAGGCAACTTTTGAGGCGCATAAAGCTCCAAGTTTCTGAGTGATTCTTGAGACGCACCTGAGGAAGGGCATGGGTGGGTGGGGGGCTGACCTGCCAAGGAAGATGGGCGAGGCGAGGCAGAGGTAGGAGAGCGTGGCGCTGGCGACGGGCTGCAGCGGGTTGTAGAGTGCCACTGTGGCGGGGCCCACCCGCCTGTTGGCTGCTGTCATTAGTGCGTAGTTGAGAGCTGACGTCACCACTCCCTGCCGTGCGCCGGGGAGAGGTGAGCGGGGGAGAGGCGAGCCGGGGAGAGGTGAGGGGGGAGAGGCGAAGGGGGAGAGGTGAGCGGGGAAGAGGTGAGCGGGGGAGAGGTGTGGGGGGGGGGGGGAAGGGTGTGAGGGAGATAGGTGTGGGGAGGGAGGGTGTGGGGGGGAGGGAGAGGGAGTGCAAGTGAGTGACAGTGTTGTGAGGCCCTGCTTAACCCAGGTCTTCCATCAGAGTTCTCCAATCCCCCCTGGAGGCATCCCTCCCTCCCGGCCTACACTCACCCCCCTCCACTGCACTCCACACAAACTCCCCATGGCAAGAGCAGCAATGTAACGCATGGGACGGGAGCAGTAAAAAAATTCGTGGCTCGACACGGCTCAGAACAGAAAGAAGAAAGGGCGGCTCTTGCGGCCAAAGTGCAGACAAGCACAGCACGTGGGGTGGGGTGAGGTCAGGCCCACCATGTCGCTGAGCTGAGACACCACCCACCATAAGGTGGCCCCCCATGTCACAGCCCGCTACAAGATCGTACTCTCTCAATGCAGGACAGACAGATGCCACCTTCACCACCCCCCACCCCTCTCCCTCCAAACTCTCACCCCCTCCCTGCTCCCTTCCTTCCCCCTCAATTTCCCCATCCCGTCCTCTCTCCCTCTCACCCCCAATCCCCCCCTCTCCTCTCTCCCCCCCAATCCCCCTCTCTCTCCTCTCTCCCCCCAGCGCACCGCAAAGACAACGGCGACGAGGGGCCAGCCGGTGATGATCCAGGAGGGCGGGGAGGAGAGCAGCGCGATGAGCAGCATGAGCAGCGCGCCCACCACGTACGCCATGGCCGTCACTGTCACTGGCGCCGGGAAGCGCCTCAACACCGGCACCTGCACGCACAGTGGGAAGGTGGGGGGGGGGGGAGATGAGGGTGGGGGTGGGGAGGTGGGGGATGGAGAGTGAGGCAGGAGGTGGAGAGGGAGGCAATGCAATGATGAGGAACAGGACAGGAGAGCACGGACAGGGTGAGGCGAGGGAGCAGAGATGCACGTGGCATACGCGTATGGGGAAGAGGGAAGGGGGCTGGAGTGGGGGAGGGTGGAGACGTATGGCAGCCATGAGTGTGAGAGCAGAACTTCCACACAGGTGGCGAGAGGAGCGCGGAGAGGGAATGGTATGAGTGCATGTTCACGAGTGCCATATGCAATGGACGTGGCCTCGCATGACCTCACATCACCTCACCTCACCTGCCCTGCCCCGCCCCGCCCCGCCCTGCTCTGACCTGTATAGTGAGATAGGCGGCCATGCTCATGCAGTTGCCCACCAGCGACACCACCCCCATGCTCCACGCTCCCACTGACCCTGGCGCCACCCACCCTTCTCCTCCCCCTCCCACTCCCCCATCACCAGCACCACCACCCGCCCCTTCAACACCAGGCGGCAGTGCGGCCTGCTGCTGCAGCAGCGCAGTGTCCCCGTGCTGCTGCTCTCCGCCCTCCCCCAGCAGCAGCGGGCCGCGGAAGACAGCCATGAGCACGGCACCGCCCACGCACAGGGCGAGCCCCACCAGGCGCACCTGGTCGCGCCACTGCTGCAGGTTCAAGGAGTCCAGGCTGCACGGCACGGCACGGGGAGCAGAGCAGTCCAGCAGTGAATTTCGAGGTGCACTTTGAGTCGAGTCAGGAGCACGGGGTGCAGTGCCGTGAGAATTGTGAGAAACACGGTGCTGCAGGTTCAGAGAGTGCACTGCTGTGAGAAGATTATGCCGGCTCAGTAAGGCCAGACTGCATGGCGCGGGGCGCAGCAGCGCTCGCAGAGAGGAAATCGGAGGAAGGAGGGGGGAGGAGCAGGGAAGGGAAAACGGGGGAGGGGGAAGGTGGAGGGAGCAGGGCGGGCATGGCAGTGTGGGTGGGAGGAAGTGCAGCAGGGAGAGGGCGTTATCCGAGGAGCAGGGCGAGGAGGAGTGTGAAGACGGGGATGGAGGGCTGCAGCGCCGCTGCTGTGGTGGGGCCCGTGAGGTTTAACCCTAGCAGGAACAGCAGCTGGTTGCCCAGGATGCTGTGAACAGGTGGAGGGAAGGGCGGAAGGAGGATAGGGTGCAGAGCGGTGCAGTGAGGTGATGTATGTGCGGAGAGGGAAGGATTGCATGAGCATGGAGCATGAGGAATGGGTGGGATGAATCGGCATGCCATGCATGCGGCCAAGTGTAGTGTGGGGCTTGCACTCTTGCATCTGCCGCATGGCGCGCAGAGGGGGAAGAGTCACATGTGCGTGCAGAGAAAATCCGCGAGACAACGAGACGTTGCAAGTTGAAAACGTGGAAACGAGCGGAGAAGTGGACAGAAGGGGCAGGGGTGATGGCAAGGGAGGAGAAAGAGGGGGGCGAAGAGGGGGACGAGGAGATGAAGGAGAGCTTTTACCCTGTGAGGCCGAGTAGAAAGAAGGGTAGGAGCAGCTTGGGCGACATGAGATGATGCTGGGACCTGCACAGCCATGCAAGCAGAGCAGAGCAGAGCGGGGAAGGTAGGTTGAGGTCAGACGGATTGAATGAGGCGCACATGCCAAGGTGCGACTCATGGTTCAGGTCGCTCACGCCTCTCTTCTCCCTCCCTTCCTTGCCTGCGTGCCGCTCCCACACGCTCTCCTCGCCTTGCCGGCAACCGCTACTCTTCTTGCAGCCGTCACCGAGCCATCCCATCCCACTCAAGCTATGCCACGACAGGTGCAGAGCAGAGAGAGAACGCGAGCCCGCACGCACCTCACACACACCAACCCATCCATCCCATCCCAAGCCTCGCTCGCCCCTCATCCAGCAGAGAGCACCAATGTAAGCACATGGAGGCGCACACACCCCAGCAGCCGCTGCTGCACGCCCACCACCTCCCCGGCCCTGCCTGCACACCCATTCCCCCACCACTGCCACCGGCACTTGTGAAACGTAGCACCCAACTCACCACAGCCACGCCAGCAGCGTCACATCACCTCACCTCACCTCACCTCACCTCACCTCACCTCACCTCACCTCACCTCACCTCACCTCACCTCACATCACCTCAACTCACCTCACCTCGCCTCGCCTCACCTCACCTCAACTCACCTCACCTCGCCTCACTGACCTCACCTCGCCTCGCCTCACCTCTCGGCGAGGGCGGCGGCGGGCAGCAGGGCGAGCAGAGCGATGGCGTCACGGTAGACACAGAAGACGAGCGCATGCACGCCCTCTGCTAGCGCCCTCTTCGCCAACACGTGGTACACGCCGTTGTTCAGCTTGTGGGAGGAGGGGGAGGGAGGGCGGGTGGGGGAGGGGGTATAGGGGTGACTCTTGAGTTGACTCGAAAGGCACGCCCTCTGCCAGCGCCCTCTTGGCCAGCACGTGGTACACGCCGTTGCTCAGCTTGTGGGGGGAGGGGGAGGGAGGGGTGTGGAGGAAAGAGGGGCAGGGGAGAGGGGCCAAGGGGTTGACTTGTAGTCGACTCAAAAGTCACGCCCTCTGCTAGCGCCCTCTTTGCCAACACGTGGTACATGCCGTTGCTCAGCTTGTGGGGGGAGGGGGAGACGGGAGATCAAAGAGGAGAGGGGAGAGGGGAGCGGGGAGAGGGAGGTGGGAGAAAGGGGGGTTGGGGTGGGACGGGGGAGAGAGGGGGCTACCTTGTGAGTCGACTCAGAAGTCACTCCCTCTGTTAGTAGCGCCACCACGTGGTACACGCCGTTGCTAACCTTGCAAGGAGGGGCGCTAGATTGCTCTAGCGCTCGATTGCTATGGCGCTCGATTGCTATGGCTCTCAATTGCTATGGCGCTCGATTGCTATGGCGCTAGATTGCTGTGCCATAGCAATCGAGCGCCATAGCAATCAAGCGCCATAGCAATCTAGCGCCGTAGCAATCTAGCGCCATAGCAATCTAGCGCCGTAGCAATCTAGCGCCATAGCAATCGAGCGCCAGCCATAGCAATCGAGCGCCATAGCAATCGAGCGCCATAGCAATCGAGCGCCATAGCAATCTAGCGCCGTAGCAATCTAGCGCCATAGCAATCTAGCGCCGTAGCAATCTAGCGCCATAGCAATCGAGCGCCATAGCAATCGAGCGCCAGCCATAGCAATCGAGCGCCATAGCAATCTAGCGCCATAGCAATCTAGCGCCATAGCAATCTAGCGCCATAGCAATCTAGCGCCGTAGCAATCTAGCGCCATAGCAATCGAGCGCCATAGCAATCGAGCGCCATAGCAATCGAGCGCCATAGCAATCTAGCGCCATAGCAATCCAGCGCCATAGCAATCGAGCGCCATAGCAATCTAGCGCCATAGCAATCTAGCGCCATAGCAATCTAGCGCCGTAGCAATCTAGCGCCATAGCAATCGAGCGCCGTAGCAATCGAGCGCCATAGCAATCGAGCGCCAGCCATAGCAATCTAGCGCCATAGCAATCGAGCGCCATAGCAATCGAGCGCCTTAGCAATCGAGCGCCATAGGAATCGAGCGCCATAGCAATCGAGCGCCATAGCAATCGAGCGCCACTGTCATGGCCTCAATTCACCATTCGCCTTTCAATTGATTATTCTTCTCCGATTTGCCGTTTCGTTTCGCACGCTTACCATAACCACCGCCAGTGCCACGTGGATGCTCCAGAGAGGCCATTCCCGCTGCGGTGACGTGGACGCCGCCTTTGCTCCGCCCGCTGCATTAGGATGTCCCTTCAGCATCGTCAGCTGCCCACGTCGTCCGCAAAACTTATTCGCCACTGCCAGCTGTGCTGGTCGTCGCGATTCGACTCCGCGATTCGCCGCGACCTGATCTGCTAACTAATCCTGAGACGCTGAAGAAGAATCAGGACTTCGCGGCGCGCTAGTAACCAGCCGGCCAAATTCAGCCAGCAAGGAGGGTGGATGGTTGAGTACGGGCCATGGTGTGCCAAATTACAGCGAGTTTCGAGCACGCTCGTCAGCAGCACTCGTCTGTCTCCTAGCTCCTCACTGCATGGCGCTTGGATGATGAGGATTCGTCTCACTTCGCCTCACGCATGCTGCGCCTGACTCGAATGTGGATGCCATGCCATGCCATCTGTGTGGGCACCAGTCAGTAACTGGAGGAAATGACAGAGCGCCGTGTTTTCTAGTTTCCAATTCCAATGGGCAGTGGTTTTGACAGCGCATCGCTCCGCGCTCGCGTCCAATGGGCATATTATTTCTCCATTTCCCCTTTTGAGTCCAGAAATACAGATTGTTTTTTTGTTACGGGATATTCCAAACCCGTTCGTCGAGTCCACAGCAAACGCGCAGCTCGGGACAAAAAAAACAAAACCCTCATGGATGGTATGCCACGTAGAGGGCATCAACCTGTCAAAATAGTAACTATAGTGTGAGACTAGGAACCATGCTAGGGTTGAGACTAGGCATGGATGTCGAGAGAGTTTAGGCAAGCAAGAGAAGAAAGTTGAGAAATGAGGGGTTTCACTATAGAAAGTTGGAAACATATATGCAAGGAAAAGAGAGGTGCACCACCAAACAAGTTTAGAAACTACATTAAGTCTACACTACAGGCAATTATAATATAATGCATGTAATTATATTCCGACACACCCCCTAACTGCGTGCAATGAAGAACCATGTGCAGAACACCCCCTGAAGGGCCCCTGAAGGGGTACACCAGGCGCAGCGGAGGAAGGAGAGGGCAATTGAAGAGGAGGAGGGACCATGAGAGGAGAGGAGGTGGTGGGTGGCGGCTGAAGCTGCTGGCACACGGGCAACTGGCACACTGGCAAATGGAGCAACTGGTACACGAGCAACTGGAGTAACTGGCTTCGCGGCTAAGCGAGCGGCAGGAGCAACTGACTCACGGGCGACAGGAGCAACGGGCTCACGGGCAACTTGCGCAATGGTCTTACGGGCGACTGAAGCTGCTGGCATCACGGCGTTCATCCCCCTTCACCTTCCCCCATTTCCCCAAACCTCCCTTTCACACCCCTCAGCATCCCTACCGCCACTCCCTCATCTCCCCCACACCCTCCCCCCCCCCCCCCACAGTGGCATGTGCAGCAGTGGGAGAGAGAGGAGGAGAGGCGGCAGCAGTTCCCTCACACCCGCCACCCCCATACCCTCCCCCCCACTACTGCACCCGTAGCAGGGAGATGGAGGAGAAGGGGGGGCGGGGGGGCTGGTGCTGCAGATCCCTTCCTGCCACCCCCTTAACCTCCAAGCTCCCCCCCTTCTCCCGACACAGCGACAAGTGCGGCAGGGAGAGAGAGGACGAGGTAGTGGGTGGCTGAATACTCACACCCGCCACCCCCATACCCTCCCCCCCACTGCTGCACGCGCAGCAGGGGGATGGAGGAGAAAGGGGGGCGGGGGGGGGCGGTATAGGAGCCGCTCGGGCGACAGCAGGGTGCGCGACCGGCAGGAACTCGTCGTGCGCCACACCCGCCACCCCCATACCCTCCTCCCACTGCTACACGCGCAGCAGGGGAATGGAGAAGAAGGGGGGGGGGGGGGGGGGGGGGGGGGGGGGTGTAGGAGCCGTGCGAGCAACAGTAGGGCGAGCGACGGGCAGGAAACCGTCGTTCGCCACCCCCACCACCCCCATACCCTCCCCCCCTTGCTGCACGATCAGCAGGGGGATGGAGGAGTAGGGCGGGGTGGGGGGGGCGGTGCAGGGGCTCGCGGGCGATAGCAGGTCGCACGACGAGCAGGAAACCATCGTGCGCCACGGGCGCACGACAGGCACGAAACCGATGCACGTCCGGGCCGCACGATGGACTGAAAATCGATGCGCGCCCGGGGCGCACGACGGGCAGAAAACCGACGGGCGCCCGGGGCGCGCGACGGGCAACAGAGTGACGCATTAGTAGACATGAAGGGTGGGCCTATGAAAGTAGGTCCTAGGTAGAAACTCGCTCTGATACCATGTCAAAATAGTAACTATAGTGTGAGACTAGGAACCATGCTAGGGTTGAGACTAGGCATGGATGTCGAGAGAGTTTAGGCAAGCAAGAGAAGAAAGTCGAGAAAGGAGGGGTTTCACTATAGAAAGTTGGAAACATATATGCAAGGAAAAGAGAGGTGCACCACCAAACAAGTTTAAAAACTACATTAAATCTACACTACATGTAGTTATAATATAATGCATGTAATTATATTCCGACACAACCCCAAACACAACAAGGCAAGGTGTTTAGGGTTGATGCCTCCCAAATGGCTTGTCATCCGAGTGGGTTTTAGTTTTGCCACTTGCCTCTATACTAAAACCAGGTAGACTTAGTATTTGCCCTTCTATATGTTTAGCCATGAAAAATGGGAAATATCAAAATAAACTGCCCCCGAGAATTGGGCGCGGGCGCGGAGGGAGTCGCCGTCAAAGCCACTGCCGAAAGGAATAAAAAACGCGCAAACATGGCGGTTCGTCATCTCCTCCAGTAACCGTGACTGCTACTGTCATTCTCGTGACATGCGGCTATGCGAGGTCGCACTACAAGTCGTTCTTGGTACCGTGCAGGCCCTCAGAATCAGGCTTTTTACCCTGATTTGACTGATTTTCAGCCTTTTTTCTGTACCAACCCTGAACTTTCAGCCCGTTTTATTTTGTAACCCTGAAATTTCAGCCCTTTTTTATGGAAGGGGACTGATTTTTCAGCCTTTAATCGAACGTGTACACTGAATGCAGATTCCGCATCCTTCTTGTAAAACACCTGAGATTATCGGGACTCCAACATTTGGTATTAAAAGTGTAGATACCACAAATATTTATCTTCGACAGAATGAACTGTCCAAGTCGTTACGGTAATTACCGTCGAAGGCGAGGGCCCCCGATTCGATTCCCTGTATCGTCATGTGTGGTTGGGCCTGAACTTGTAACCAAAAATAATAATTATATTAGATCAGGCTTTTTTTTTTAAGAACCCTGAAATTTCAAGCCTTTTCTTCTTAGGAACACTGACAATCGGCCCTGTTTTTTCACAGGTGTAGTCGTTGTAGGCGCCGCTCGTGGCACTCCTTGCATGCCCTTCTTTGAGGGGTGTTCCCCCTCCCCTCTTGCACCCTCCTACGCCTCTGCTGCTGCTTTTGACATCTTTGGTGCTGAGGACGTCGGGGCTGCTTCTGCTAGTGGGAAGCGCCGCAGCATCAAGGGCAAGGGTGGCAGGAGTGGTGGAGGTGGCAGCGGGAGTAGTGGTGGGAGCGGCAGTGGAGGTGGTGGAGGTAGTGGAGGTGGTGGCAGCGGTGGGAGTGGTGGCGGGAATGGGGGCTTTGGTGGCGGCGGTGGTGGCAGCGGTGGGAGTGGCGATAGTGGCGGCGGCGGGAGTGGTGGCAGTCGGGGTGGAGCTGTTCAGAGGGGAGGTTTTGGCGGTGGCCAACGGCAGCAGCAGCATCGTCGGAGCGAGACCCGTTCACCCAGCAGCTTCGTGAGTGGTATTCTCAGTGTGGGGCATCTGGGGGTAGTGTTAGCTGCCCGTATCTCATTCGCACGGGTGACCGTGCTAGTCAGACATGCAGGAAGCCTCACACTCAGCACCGCTGCTTCTCCCGCCTAGACGACGCTTGGTGGGCAGAGTTTGGTGACGAGGCCGAGCGCCCCCGCTGGGCAGAGCTGCTTCGCTCTGGAGTTGCTCTCTTTGACCTAGACTATGATGCTATCCTTGCTGCTATGTATGCCTTATCTGTTAGTGCTGAGGGTGACTGTTACCTGTGTGTGCCGCCTGACCCAGGTGTAGAGGCTGCTGCTCTAGGTGCTAGTGAGCCTGCTCTCCCTGGATCCGCACAGTCCGTCTCCAGCTTCGCGAGCGATTCCGTGCGTACCTTCCTGTTCTGCGTCTGCACTCTGACAGAGGTGGTGAGTTCTCCTCTGACCTCTTGCAGGACTTTTGTCATGGGGAGGGCATTCTCCAGTCGTTCACGCTTCCGGACTCCCCGCAGAAAAATGGGATTGCTGAGTGCCGCATTGGCTTAGTCATGGAGGTCGCTTGTACCTCCATGATCCATGCGGCTGCCCCCCATTTTCTGTGGCCGTTTGCGGTCCGGTACGCTGCGCATCAGTTCAACCTCTGGCTCCGTGTCTCCTTGCCGGAGACCTCGCCTTCACTGCGTTGGACGGGGAAGGTTGGCGAAGCGTCGGTGTTCCGGGTCTGGGGTTCTCGTGCCTTTGTTCGCGATACGTCCGCGGACAAGCTCTCCGCCTGCGCTATTCCCTGCGTCTTCCTTGGCTTTCCCCCTGACGCGCCTGGCTGGCAGTTTTACCACCCCACCTCGCGCCGTGCCCTCCCTTCTCAGGACGTCACGTTTGACGAGTCGGTTCCCTTTTACCGTCTCTTCCCCTACCGCTCTGCCCCTCTCCCACCCCTGCCGCTCTTCCTTGCTCCAGGTCCCCCTCCGGTAAACCCCCTCCCCCCTCAGGGTCCTGCTCCCTTAGGTGTGTCTCAAGTAGACCCACTCCCTGGTACTGTGCCTGTACTCTCAAGTAGACTCAGGTGCTGCTAGGGGTGCTGAACCTGCGGGTTCGGAGCCTGGGGGTGCTGAGTCTGAGCGTGCGGAGCCTGGGGGTGCTGAGCCTGAGCGTACTGAGCCTGGGGGTACTTTGTCTACTGGAGGTCCTCCGAGTGCCTTGTCGCGGCGGGAGCCTCTCTCTCCACCGCAGCTGCGTGAGTGGTTTGCTCGGCGCACCCGCCTTCGGAGTGGAGTTGTTGGAGCTGGAGGTGCTGCAGGAGTTGGAGCTGGAG